ACGCCTCTTGATGTAATCCCCCATGGATTTCGAGGTGTGTTTAGGATCATTATCTATTTGTAGAAGCCATCCTCTCTTTAACTTCAGCTATTTCACAGATGGCATCAAGTTACCATCCAAAATTTGCTGAAATTTTATTGAATCCATTTTTCCTTCTACTCGTGAGATGTTCCCTGTGCCACTGGCTGCAACACAACCCCAAAGCATGATTGACCCAACCCCATGCTTAACAGTTGGACAGAGGTTCTTTTCATTCAATTCTGTGCCCCTTCTTCTCCAAACGTACCTTTGCTCATTCCGGCCAAAAAGTTCAATTTTAACCTCATCGGTCCACAGAACTTGTTTCCAAAATGCATCAGGCTTGTCTATATGTTCATTTGCAAAGTTCAAACGATGATTTTTTGTGGTGAGGACGTAGAAGAGGTTTTCTTCTGATGACTCTTCCATGAAGACCATATTTGTACAAGTATCTCTTTATAGTGGAATAGTGTACCACAACTCCAGTGTCTGCCAGATCTTTCTGGAGGGATCGTGCAGTCAAACGTGGGTTTTGAATTGTTTTTCTCGCAATCCTGCGAGCTGTTCTGATATTTTTCTTGGTCTTCCAGATGTTGCTTTAACTTCCACTGTTCCTGATGACTGCCGTTTCTTAATTACATTCCGAACAGAGGATATTGACATCTGAAATGCTTTGCTATCTTCTTATAGCCTTCTCCAGCTTTGTGAGCGTCAACTATTTTCAGTTTCAGTTTTCTAGACAACTGCTTAGAAGAACCCATGGTACTGATTGTTGGGGCAAGGTCAGATGAGTCTGGGCATTTAAAACCTTTGAGATTGACATCACCTGGTCTTCCCAGATGATGATTGAGAACAATCCATGACACTGGCAGGTCTCAGCTTGGCAAAGGGGGCAGTGCATGCTATAAATTCTGCAGGGTGCCCAAACTTTTGCAGACGCCATTTTTTTGTTTTCTGTTATTTTGAAAGTGTAAATGATGGAAATAAAATCTATTTTTGTTGACATATTATAAGAATGTCTAATCTGTAATTTGATGCCTTTTGGAGATTTTTCCATCTTTCCTTGGCTTCTTTATGCACATTAATACAAATTTTTAGCTGGGGTGCCCAAACTTTCGATCCCTACTGTACATACTGTATATTTCATTTTGATTTTTGTTATCTACTGCAATCAATGCCCTTGGCATTATACTGATTCTTGTGCCACCTACTCACATTCCTTAGATCCTTATAAGAAAATATCCTGCCTATGTAATGCTTACAATTGTTATATTAATCTGATACTTACTGTACATAGGCATAGTTATGAAGAAAAAAAACCCTCAAGTACACTGAAAAAACAGAACAAGTTTTTGGAAAAATGCTGGGTGTGTCATTTTGTTTGTTCCCTACTGCAGTAGTTAATATTAATTTGGAACCACTAATCATCAATATTAGGATAAGAGTTTCCTATCTATAAAATTTTCAAGATACATAGGACAGCACAGTGGCTAAATGGTTAGCACTTGCATCTGGCAGTGCCAGAGTCACTGGTTTGAATCCCAACCATGGCACCACCTGCCTAGAGTTTGCATATTCTCCCTGTGCCTGTGTGGGTTTCCTCCCTTACTCCAAAGACATGCTGGTAGGTTAATTGGATCCTGTCTAAATTGTCCCAAGTATGTGGATGAATGTAAGTTAGGGACTGTAGATTGAACTCCCCTTGAGGGTTAGGGACTGATGGAAATGTACAATATATATGTAAAGCACTGTGTAAGTTGACAGCACTATATATAAGTACCTATAATAAATGAGATACTGTCTAACAGGGATTCATTAGTGCAGCTTAGGGATCATGTCAGTGGGTGTTTTTGTCAAATGCCTTCATTTTCATTTGAACACAGCTTCATGCATTCAAATTGAAATCACAGCATTTGACAAGAAAAAGGGTGCCTTGATCTGCTTTGTCTGCAGATCAACTACGACTTAATAAGACATGCTGCATTTAAAGAAATGCAGCACAATGCAAAGCATGTCACATGCAGCCTCTGATCTGTCATGTGTACTGGCAGTTTTATGACCAGCATTTGACATGCATTATAAATGCACATGACACTCAGGAAGACAATGCCTGTGTACATATACTATTATTGTGACAATGCAAATAAAAAAAAAATTCCCTGTAGCTTTTAATTTCTATTTAGAAGCAGCAGAACACTTCTTCACATGTAACACTGCTTAGGCACCCTCCATTGTTCTGGTCCCTCAGGGGTCTATTAAGAGTTTTTATCTCACCTACTCCTGCTTCTGATTACTGGAAAATATTGATGTTTTTACGTGGGAATGGGTCCCTGAGCATGAAAAGCTAGTCCTCAGAGACACTGTGCAAGACTGATGATGTGGGTCTGTGCAAAAGAGCAACTGTAGGCTGCCTACAGTACGTTCTACAGTATATTATTCACAGCTGACTTTTCTCACACTATTTGAAGGATAAGGATGCCCAGGTCCACTTTAACAAGGTTTAGTCTCATAAAGGAAGTCATCTTAGATTGTAAGCTCCAAGGAGCAGGGCCCTCCTAACCCTTTTGTATTGAACTATACTGTTGCTGTATTGTCTCCTGTTATATTGTAAAGCGCTGAGCAAACTGTTAGCATTATATAAATCCTGTATAATAATAATGTATCCAGGGGCGGACTGACCATTTGGAAACTCGGGCACTTCCCGAGGGCCCGGGGTCAGTAGGGGGCCCCATGAGATGCCCCTGGTATCTTTTTCATAGGCTTTTTTGAGTTTGGGCAAGGACACAGGGGCCCCATGATCCCCTATTGCCCGGGGGCCCCATGAGTTGTCAGTCCGCCCCTGAATGTATCACAAATTATGGGACTAGTTCTCTTTAATGCAAACCTCCCATTTTCTCGTACTTAACCATCATTTCCTTTACTTATATTTCTTTGATAATTCCATATTACTTTTTGAAGCTGTCACTACATTAGGATATAGAGTTGCGGATGCGTGGATATTTATTTTTCTATGAAAATAAAAGGTAGCTATTTTTGTATTGGAGACAATCTGGAAATGCTGCCCATATCTACTAGTTTTCTCCTAATATATTCATGTAGTAGTTTATAATGGTATAATGGAAACACCTGTCCAGTAGAAACAGGAAGAACTCCATTCCTTATACATATCTATGAATCTAACCTCTAATATATTTTTGAATGCATGTTAGAAGATGAATACAAAAACCTCACTGACTGCTATAGGCAAAAAAAAGACACATCTTTTTTTTTAACTACACCACAATAAATGATGATGTCACTCTAGCACATGTGTGCAACACAGCACTCTGCATTCCACGGCATCACCGCGCATGCGCAGGTAACATCATCAGCTATTGCCGATGTTAATATGTCCTAAATAGTGCATGTTTAGGAGATATTCATTGTACATACTGTCAGGAATGGACTTGCCAGTAATGGTGGGACTCACCTGCCTTGTGGGCTGCAGTACCGGGGCTGGCCAGCGGGTGCTCTCAGCAATCAGAGACTCAACCCTGTAGTCAGCCAAACACCTGAAGCTGATTATGCAGGTGTATTTAAGGGATGGCCAGACCTGCAGTCTGGGCCTTGGTGTGTGCTTTCTATGGGCCCCTGTATCTTGTTACCTGTATCCCTGTTCCTGTTCCTGTCTGACTGATTCTTTGCTGACCCTGCCTGATCCGGACATCTGCTGACTTCTCCTGTTTGATCCCTGGCTTGTGACCCCGACCATTCTCTGCCTGACCCCCTGTACCTACCTGCCCGTTAGTTGCTGTACCCGGCTCGTGACCTGACTACTCTCTGCCTGCTCCTCCTATTCCTACCTGCTCTATTGTTATTGACCCGGCCTGCCTGACGACGCTTGCATTGTATGTATTGTTATCTGTGGGTGGTTTGGTTTGGTTCGTTTGCACTGTTATGTTTTAGTATTGCACTGCGTTTATGTATTGTTAGTGTTAATAAATTATATTGGTTTATAACATATCTGAAGCCTGCGTTTCCCTGCGTCAGTTCACAACCTCTGGTCATACCCTGGAGCCCTGACATTACACCAAGGCCAATCCTGACCAGAAGTGGCTGCACAGGGAAGCCATCTTGGCTTATTGTTGCTGGGAAGGATGGATCTTGATGAGGTTGTGTATTTGTCGCTGCTGGTTTTTTATGACAGAGAATATGCTTATCAGACTCTGAAGGAGTATCCCAGGGATCAACTACTAGAATGTATACGGATCGCTCATTGCCTAGTAGATCAGGGCACAGAATTCTCTGAGGTGCAGCCATTGATTCAGGTTTGTGCTGAGTTGGTTTGTTCTGGTACCCCCGAATGCAGGGATGAATTTCTGCCACCATTTAGCGCCGACCAGGTAGAGTCCCTGGTATGGTTATTAGAGGATGATGTGGATTACTTTCTGGAGCGTTATTCTGCATGTTCACCACAGATACTAAGAGATTGTATAAATGCAGTGCAGTCTTTGACCAGACAGGCTTTGTGTAAGCGGAGCTTTGTTCAACCCATACTGCAGACATGGTCAGACTTGTTGCACCCAGCCTCAGTCAGCTTACAACATCATTCCTCCACTCAAGGTACTCTTCCTGCATCCCCGACAGCACCCCCAGTGACTGCCCAGTATACTCTAACTACCACATACCAGTCCTCTGCTCCCACTCGCTGCACATATCCTTTCTTTAACCCTGTAAAGAAGTCCTCTGTAGCAACTGCTCCCTCCTCTGTTCCATCTTCCAGCTCTTCTCTGTCCTCAGCTGCTCCATTCGTTTGCAGACCTGCGTTTACTTGCAGTGCTCCAGTAGTTAAAACCAGAAAAAAGTGAAAATTCTTTCCAACCAGTACCATCCTGCCAGTATCCAAACCGGTGAGCCTGCCGTCTGAGAACCAGCCTTCCGTGGTTCAGCCTGGTGCCTCGGCACCCGCACTTCAGCCTGATGTCTCTACCCAGCCTGATGAACTGATCCAGCCTGATGATCCTATCACGCCTGATGACCCGGTGCCCGCTATCATACCTGGTGACCCGATGCCCGCTGTCGAGCCAGACGATCCAATGCCTGATGACCCAGTGCCCGCTGTCATGCCTGGTGACCCGATGCCCGCTGTGGAGCCAGACGATCCGGTACATGATGACCCGGTGCCCGCTGTCATACCTGGTGACCCGATGCCCGCTGTCGAGCCAGACGATCCGGTACCTGATGACCCAGTGCCCGCTGTCATGCCTGGTGACCCGATGCCCGCTGTCGAGCCAGACGATCCAGCGCCAGATGACCCGGTGCCTGCTGTCGATCCAGACAATCCGGTACCTGATGACCCAGTGCCTGCTGTCATGCCTGGTGATGCCCCCGATGCCCGCTGTCGAGCCAGATGACGATCCAACGTCAGATGACCCGGTGCCCGATGTCGATCCAGACGATCCGGTACCTGATGACCCGATGCCCGCTGTCGAGCCAGACAATCCAATGTCTGATGACCCGGTGCCCGCTGTCATGCCTGGTGACCCGATGCCCGCTGTCAGAGCCAGGCGATCCAGCGCCAGATGACCCGGTGCCTGCTGTCGAGCCAGACGATCCGGTACCTGATGACCTGGTGCCCGCTGTCGTGCCAATTGACTCAGAGCCCACTGTTGTGCCTGGTGACTTCGTGCCCACTGCCTTGCAAGATGACGCGGTGCCCGCTGTCGAGCCAAATGACCTGATGCCTGGTGACCCGATGCCCGCTGTCGAGCCAGACGATCCAATGTCTGACCCAGTGCCCGCGTCGGTCATGCCTGGTGACTCGGAGCCCACTGTCGTGCCTGGTGACTCGGTGCCCACTGCCTTGCCAGATGACACGGTGCCCGCTGGCGAGCCAAATGACCTGATGCCTGGTGACCCAGTGCCCGATGTCATACCTGGTGACCCGATGCCCGCTGTCGAGCCAGACAATCCAATGCCTGATGACCCAGTGCCCGCTGTCATGCCTGGTGACCCGATGCCCGCTGTCGAGCCAGACGATCCAATGCCTGATGACCCAGTGCCCGCGGTCATGCCTGGTGACCCGATGCCTGCTGTCGAGCCAGATGATCCAGCGCCAGATGACCCGATGCCTGCTGTCGAGCCAGACGATCCGGTACCTGATGACCCGGTGCCCGCTGTCGTGCCAATTGACTCAGAGCCCACTGTCGTGCCAGATGACGCGGTGCCCGCTGTCGAGCCAAATGACCTGATGCCTGGTGACCCGATGCCCGCTGTCCAGCCAGACGATCCAATGTCTGACCCAGTGCCCGCGGTCATGCCAGTTGACTCAGAGCCCACTGTCGTGCCTGGTGACTCGGTGCCCACTGCCTTGCCAGATGACGCGGTGCCCACTGGCGAGCCAAATGACCTGATGCCTGGTGACCCGATGCCCGCTGTCGTGCCTGATGACCCGGTGCCTGTCGCTCCGCCTGGGGGCCCGGTGCCTGTCGCTCCGCCTGGGGGCCCGATGCCTGTCGCCCCGCCTGGGGGCCCGGTGCCTGCCGCTCTGCCTGGGGGCCCGGACGCCCGCCGCTCCGCCTGGGGGCCCGGCGTCCGCCGTTCCGCCTGGGGGCCCTGGCCCCCGCCGCTCCGCCTGGGGGCCCAAGACCTGCCGCTCCACCTGGGGGCCCAAGACTTGTCGCTCCTCCTGGGGGCCTTGTGCCTGCCGCTCCTCCTGGGGGCCCTGTGCCTGCCGCTCCTCCTGGGGGCCCTGTGCCTCTGCCCGGAGTCCAGCCCGATGTGCCGCTGCCCGGAGTCCAGCCGATGTGCCGCTGCCCGGAGTCCAGCCCGATGTGCCAGTCTTTGATATCCCGCCAGTTACCAGACCCAGGCGGTGGAACATTTTGCCCAGCTAGGACTGTTTGGAGCGTCCTGAGGCCGCTCCTTGAGGGGGGGTACTGTCAGGAATGGACTTGCCAGTAATGGTGGGACTCACCTGCCTTGTGGGCTGCAGTACCAGGGCTGGCCAGCGGGTGCTCTCAGCAATCAGAGACTCAACCCTGTAGTCAGCCAAACACCTGAAGCTGATTATGCAGGTGTATTTAAGGGATGGCCAGACCTGCAGTCTGGGCCTTGGTGTGTGCTTTCTATGGGCCCCTGTATCTTGTTACCTGTATCCCTGTTCCTGTTCCTGTCTGACTGATTCGTTGCTGACCCTGCCTGATCCGGACCTCTGCTGACTTCTCCTGTTTGATCCCTGGCTTGTGACCCCGACCATTCTCTGCCTGACCCCCTGTACCTACCTGCCCGTTAGTTGCTGTACCCGACTCGTGACCTGACTACTCTCTGCCTGCTCCTCCTGTTCCTACCTGCCCGATTGTTATTGACCTGGCCTGCCTGACGACGCTTGCATTGTATGTATTGTTATCTGTGGGGGTGGTTTGGTTCGTTTGCACTGTGTTATGTTTTAGTATTGCACTGCGTTTATGTATTGTTAGTGTTAATAAATTATATTGTTTATAACATATCTGAAGCCTGCGTTTCCCTGCGTCAGTTCACATACCTCTGGTCATACCCTGGAGCCCTGACACATACAGGTTAGCCTGATTGTAAGCTTACCTGTAGGTACAAATTTAACATAGGGACTTCACTACCAAATATGAAATATTATATTACAGCAATACTGAAAAAATTGGATTCATCAAATATATCTCAATGCAAAGATATCAGGGTGGTAAAAGTTACCAACCAGCTCCTCTAAGGGCTCATGTTTAGGAGCCTTTGGCATTTTTTTTGGGAAAGCTCCTAAACTCAACTCCATAAAAGCCTATGTGTCCATGTACACATAAGCTATTAGCAGAGTTTAGGAGCTGCTGCGTTTAGGTGAGGTTAAAATATCCCTCTCCTGAACACAGAAGAATCGCGTTCAGGATAAGAACGTTTTGACCACCAACCACGGGAAAACGCAAAACGTGGCAAAAACGCGGTTGTTGCGTTTTGCTGCGATTTGCATTTTCTTGCAGCAGGCGGTCAGGGTAGGCTCGTGTACATGGAGCCTAACAATTTGTATCTTTTTCTTGGTATAGTACATAACTCCAAACCTGAACACTGTGAAACATATGCAACCTTCCCTTTCTTTGTTTATGTGTTTTGTTCTTTTATTCTTGGTTCTAAACAAAGATCAAAATGAAATCCATAGATTATAAAAAAACAACTGTATAAAATGGTCTAGAAGTAAGAAATATGGTGAATGTGAAAATGAACAGCATTCCAAAAATGTTATTCTTAAAGGTCCTTCTACTATTCACTTAAAGTAAACCTGCCCTACACCCTTCTATCTGATCTATCCAAGGCTATGCTGGTCATGCGGAGAGCAGTGAAACCCCTTCTCAACCTCATCTGGACCCATGGGGTGCTGTACAGCTGGAGACACATGTTTGGTATCCAGATAAGAAAGGAGGGCATATTTTTCCTGTTGACATCACCAGATAAGTTACCAGCTCTCTTTGCTATCCTTGGAGTTGAACCTATTGATGTGTCTAATTGGCTGAATCCCCTCAGGGAGCCTAATGCTTGATTAGTTAAAACAGGTCCAATACTTCTGTATTGGCTCTTTTTACTCCAATAAGAATGAAGTCTACTATACACCCCCTTGAACTGGGAGTTGTAAACTTGGACCCCTCAGGGATCTTATAAGATCTAAATAGACTGAAGTGAACTTCTTGAGTGATGCCTATGAGTAGCTGTTAATAAATTTTGTTCTGATTTGTTTAAATTTGTTACTATGTTCATTCAGAGATCCATATACATCTGAAATCAAATTTTTGGACAAAAATCAATTGAAACGCACATGTCTAAAGTGTATGTTGTGTAACATTTTTGTTTATGGCATAATGTGTTGCACTTTTTAGTCTTCTTTTTTAACTTTATTTTCATTCCTAAACAGAAATGAACTGATGAAACTGCCCCCCACAAAGGCACAGGGCAAAGAACTAGACACTAGGATTGCCTATAAGCTCCCAGCAACTGATCTTTTCCCCATTACTGACTTTCTGTGCCCTATTCTGCAATATGTTTCTGTGTTGAGGCAGCCATGTTGGCAGAGGCAGGGCTTTGGTTCTTCATGTCAGCTGTTGTCAGATAACTGGTCATCTGATAGCTAGTAGGGGAATATTTAAGAACAACAGAAGGGATGGAGGAAGCACAGATCCACAGGGAAAAAAATGAAGCAGTACCAGGGAGATGTATGCAGTGCAGATTTCTCTCCAGCAAGCAACACAGTAGTGATATCACCAAATCTCACCCCAGATCTTCTGAAACCAGCAGTCAGAAGTAGAAATGTCTCACACTACCGATGTAAGGCTGTAAACAAGGGAGTGCCTAGGCATAGTCACATACCAGGAATGTACAGTATGTGATCTTTGAGGAGGATATTAACCACTTGCCCTCCAGAGGATTTACCCCCCTTCCTGACCAGGCCATTTTTTTTTTATAAAGCGCTGCGTAATTTTAATTGACAATTGTGTGCTCATGCAACGCTGCACTCAAATGAAATGTATGTCCTTTTTTTCTCCACAAATAGAGCTTTCTTTCAGCGGTATTTGATCGCCTCTGCATTTTGTTTTTTTTTTTTAAAAGATTTTTTTTTAAAAAGACCGCCAATTTTCAGAAAAAAAAACAATATTTTGACTTTTTGCTATTAAACATGTCCAGTAAAAAAAATGTCATCATAAATTTAGGCCAAATGAATTCTGTCCTTGCTAAAAAAAAAATCCCAATACGTGTAAATTAATTGCTCTACGTGAAAGTTATTGCATCTACAATAGCAGTATATATAATGGAATTTAAATAATAAATGTATTTTATACTAGTAATGGTGGCGATCAACTACTTATAGCGGGACTGCGGGACTGAGGTGGGCATTTTGACACTGGGGGGGTAAATGACTAACTGTCACTGACATCCCCAGTGACACCAATACAGTGATCAGTGCTAATAAAAAGTACTGACTCTGTACTTATGACACTGGGCATGGAGGCTTAAGATCTGGGGCGATTAAAAGGTTAAATGTGTGCTGTTTCACTGTGTGCTGTGTGTGTGCTTTACACTGCTGCTTTGTATGGCTCTGCTATGCAATGCAGAGCCATACAAAACAGTGTGCAGGAGCTAACAGGGGAGAGATCTGTATTGTTTATATACGGGTCTCTCCCTACTCAGTGACTGCAGGGTGCCAGTGGGGAATCACTGGGCTGGGACCGGGTGATTGATAGCCGAGGCCCCCAACGGTGACGCAGGTAGGGCGCAAGTGCAACTCACCCGTGTCCCCTACCCGGAAATGCAAAATCACATATATATATATATATATATATACACATATGATTTTGCACACCCCTGATGCCCTGTAGCCGTATTTCTGCTATAGGGTGGCAGGAAAGCAGTTAAAATAACAAAAGTGAGATTTTTCAGGGTACAGCTTAAGCACAACTAAGATCTCTAGATGTAGTAGTAAACATGGTAAACCCTAAAAATGTTAATTCAGGTCCACTTTAACTTGGGGGCATTACAAGGTGTACAGTAGCCGGGAAATCACAATTTATCTTGTCTGCATTATTATTACTAATATTATACAGAATTTATATAGCGCCAACAGTTTGTGCAGCACTTTAAAACACAAGGGCAGACAATGCAGGTACAATACAATTCACTTGTTAGAGCTTTAAAGGATGGTCAATAACAAATAATAAAGGTA